TTAAAAAATCTTTGTTTGTTTTAGGCATTTGCATTATGCCGATTGTCAATGAGATTTTAAATGGGCTTTTCCTAGAAGACAACCTCTGTTTGGGTCTCTGTTAGTCTGCTTCATGTCTGGTGAATATTCACTTTTCTTACCTAAGTGAAACCCATAACTTCACAGCCTATGACTCTTACCCTTCCACACTGAATTTGTCATTAAAATGACTGAAGACAAATCCTGGTGAAGTATTTTGAGGTCAAATCCTGGCAAAGGTCATCACTTAAAATAACAGCATAGATCCCCAGATTGATTGGTAAGTGGTTGCCATCCACTGTTTACTTTGTCTGGTCAATGAGTGGGAAAGAGAGGCCAACAGAGAGAGCTCCCCTCAGCAGTTCCCCTCATCTGGAGGTGAAATGGCTTTTCCCTTAGTTAACACTAGCCAGTGACACCAGCACTCAGCTCTGCTCTGAGTCCCCGCTCAGCTAGGGACCACACAAAGCCACTTGGCTATTTTTGTCTTTGTTACACAGGTTTTTCTGTGACGCTCCAACAGAGTCAAAAAGAGAGAAGCTTATTAGGTTTTTTTCTTCTCCAGAGAAATATGCCATGTAACCAAATCAATTTAGTAAATCTTAAGACAAAGTCTGTTGGGCTAGAGATCCTACTGTGGATGCCAGCAGCCAATCAGAGGGTTTAAGCATCAGGGTTGTTTTACTCATGTAGCTGGCTCGTTAGAGGAGTATCGATCACACTTCTCATTAGTACGCCTGTCATGAACGAGTAATTTGTTCCTTTCCTGAGTCAAAATTGAATTTCCTCATCTCTTTCTTGCTCTAGTTTGTCTTGGCAAAGAAGGGCCATACAGCTGTGTAGCTTGTGGACTTTGTTTCCTGTTTTGTGGTACATCAATATGACACTCTTCATATCACACACACGCACGCATGCACACGCATGCACACACATGCACGCGCACACACACACACACATGCATGCACACACACCAACCTTAGCTGACCTGGTAAGCCAGGCACACCACTAATGGAAAAAGACATCAATACCTGCAGATATCAATCTAGTAGGACTAAACTGCTATTGTTCAGACCAGTTCTGGGACTTCGATTTAAATTCAATCAAAAGCTTTTGCTGTTGGCCTATATGGCATTAAGGACTGTTTACCTCTGTTAAAAGGGTTAGACTACAAAATTCTTTATATGTAAAACACGAACAAAGAAACCACAATCAGATTTAATGCACTGTGCTTTTAGATCATGTTCTGCATTCTTCCTGAAATGCTGAAATTTCATTACATCTGCATTAATTTGCATTTTTTTGGCCACTTACACAAGCAGAGCATAAAGACCAACCCCTCACCCGTAATCTCAGTATGTGATTCAGCTGCTGGACCGGACTAAATCACACCTTTTCATGACAGCAGCAGTAGCAAAGCTTTCTTAAATTCAGAGTTCTTCCTGTCCCATGATTTTGTGCTGCCTGTCTTGTGCTGAAAGTCTCTCTCCTGCATCTTGCTGCTCTCCGCCTGGACTTCTCCACCTTTCTGCTGTCCTTCCTGGCAGTTTGCAAGATGATTATATGATGCAAACAGGCAATATCAGATCCTTTATGGGACAGGACACTGTTCTGAGATGTAAGTTGCTTCCAGTTCAATACTGTTCTAACTGATGTCTATTTTTAGCTTTAAGCACTGCTTGCCGAGCTTGTCCTGACGGCACGCCGCTAGCAAAAACACCACTGACTCGTGTTAGCAAACAGTTACCTAATTATATATTAAACAGATGAGAAGCAATATTAGTATTAGAAAAGATATCTAAAATGTGTGTCAAACTACAGTCAGATGATAGTTCTCTCAGATTCATCATTACGCCCCCTTTCTGATTAGTGCAGCTGTAACTTCATCCATTTTCTACCGCTTATCCTCTAGTAGGATTGCGGGGGGGCTGGAGCCTATACATGCATGCACACGGGCGAGAGGCGGGGTACACCCTGGACAGGTCGCCAGTCCATCGCAGGGCACACAGAGACAAACAACCATTCACTCTCACAGTCAGACCTATGGTCAATTTGGAGTAACCAATCAGCCTAGTCCCCATTTGCATGTCTTTGGACTGTGGGAGGAAGCCGGAGTACCCGGAGAGAACCCACACAGGCACGGGGAGAACATGCAAACTCCACACAGAAAGACCACGCGTCCGAGGCAGGACTCGAACCCGGAACATTCTTGCTGTGAGGCGCCAGCGCTAACCACTGCACCACCGTGCCGCCTCAGCTGTAACTTCTAAAGTTTCAAACTTTGAACAAGTCTGCCACCTTCATTCGCTTTTGAAGACATTGTTCATCATGTGAGTTTTTTCCTAATAAAAATTTTCGTCATTTGTTGTTTGAAAATTGAACTTTCTCAATCTGTATTTTTGTTTTACAACACATTATCTCACAGCAACAGCAAGGTTTACATGGTTTCCACCCATTCCCATCAGGCTTACATGGACTGTTAATGCCTTTGTGTAATTCTTTTTTTTTTCTTCAGCCCTGTAGTGATAAAGGACACCAGACACAAAAAACATTATCCTCAGCCCCTCTCTGGAGTTTTGTAAAGCAGATAAGCCTTTATTCTTTTCATGTAAACTGGCATTAAGCAAATGACCTAAATAGACCCGAGGCACCACTGTGGGCTATATAGATGAAATCAGACTCTTTGGGGTGAAGGTGGGGGCTCGCGTGTGGTCTGATTGCGTGTGTTTGTGTATGTGTGTGTATGTGAAACAGTATGAGGAGATTTGCATGGAAACCCAGTGTCTCCAACAAGTCGGTGCAGGCATCCGTGACTGCAGCACGTGGCTGTTAAACGGCTTGTCATGTCTCCTGATGCCAGCATCCCTGTGGATGTGCGCAGCCAGAAACTGGCCAACAGGGGGAATTAATTCCAGGACATGCACCATGTAAGCACCATCAATTCTGCCCAGGGCCCACGTAAAACCCTACACTGTCTGCAGTCCTTTCTTTTCCCACTGAAACTGCTTTAGGTCAAGTAATAAGAGGAAAGGGGACGCCAAGAAAATAAACGAATAAATATTCACACTGAAGTTTTTGGTTTCAGTCAAGAAGGAAAACAAAGTCAAAGCAAAACACTTGACACGTGCCAAGTTTGAAGGACATCACCCCCCCTCACGTGTCATTGCGCTTCAGTTTTCATTTGCCCCCTCCTCTCTACTGATCACAACCAACATCAAACTAACTCAGATTTAGAATCTTTCAGCCTTGTTTTCCTATATAAAAATAAGGAAAGTATTCAGCACCAATGTTTGTGCCTTTTGGCTCCATACCACACTGTACAGATACGCTGTCATCCATTTGAGACACAGACAGGATGGCTTTGCTAAATTGTTTAATAGTAATACACCACAGAAAATGCAGTGGCAGGTCTGTAACTGCACATGTGAATCCATTACAAGATACAGTGATGCTGGAAATGTCAATGTTCTTTTTTCAGTAAGTTTTATCATTCCTACATTTCAGCCAATAATTTATTCATTTCAGTTTTTCTCAATTTTTTTTTTCTCCCACTTAATTTGAGGCACTCTCAATCAAAACACTTGGTGTTAAAGGGGCAGATTGCCATTTTGGGAAATTTACTTATTCATATTTTTGCCCAGAGTTAGATGAGAAGATTGATTCCACTCTACTATTTATCAGCTAACACAACCATAGAGCCAGAAGACTGAAAACCTGAAGACTGAAACCAGGGAAACTGGCTCTGACCAAGTGTAAAAATCAAAAGTTGTAGTTTAACAAGGACTAGCTAATGACCAAGAAAGGTTAGAACAAATTATAATAACTTTTATAAAACTGCAACTTGTCATTTTTACATTTCTTTTTGTGTTCAAATTAAACAACATAAAATATAATGGGTTGAATTCTAAATAAAATAAATAAATAAAAATCTACAGCTGCCGTTTCCTCCTGCTTTCAGTCATTAGTGTTAACTAAGCTATCAATCTCCTGGCACTAGCATAATGTTCAATGTACAGACATTAATCTTCACATCTCACTCTTGGAAAGAAAGACAGTATGCGCTTTTCCAAAAATGTTGAATTATCCCTTTATGGTGTTACAGCCGAGCCAGGATGGTGGGAGGCATGCACTATGCAGCCTGTTGTAGCTGATAGTATCCTGGTTAATTATCAGCATCACACCAACTGTAATTCTTTTTATGTTACATATATATTTTCCGGTTGTTTCTTGTTGGATTTTGAAATGAATACAAGAAAACAAACTTGTTATTTTATTATGTGTTTTGTAATTTTTAAAACAGGTAAAGGCTGCAAAGAAGGTGCCAAGATCCACTGTAAACACCAGTGTTCACTTCAGCCGCATTTGTTTAAACAGTTTAAATTTGTTTTAACTTGTAGATTTGTTTAATGGTGCATTCATTTCCAAAAGTATTTATTTATTGGTATATGGTATTTATTTAAGATACCTGTCTGGGTGGGTGGCTGGGTGCAGGTTTTTCAAATAAACTTTTTTTTATCGCTTTTTTCTAGACAGACATCTGCAGGAGAGTGAGTTCCAGCAGGTTTGCCTGTTTACATTGTCAGAGTTTGTTGATTCTCAGCTTTAGATTGACTCCTGTAGGCACCACAGCCACCACTTATCTCCACTGTGAAAGCTGGAAAGGGCCCAATTAGAGAATTTTCCTTAAAATTGTTAGCTGAACCTAAAGGATGCCCTCAGCAAAATGAGCCCATCTGAAATTTCTGCCTCAGCAACACAGCTCGCTACAATTGTCTCATCATTTATGCATGCATTGTGAAATACACTGCATCAGAAGTGCAAAGGTGTCCTTAAGAAGCAGGAGATAATTGAGGATGCGGATCAAAGCTAAGAAAACTACATATAATGCGCCAAAGATAAGGTGTAACATTTAGCACTGCAGCATTAATTGGTAAAAGTGGAAATCAGCTCTGTTGCTGCAGTGAACAGTTGTGTGATCCACTTACTTGTTTTGGTGCTTTGAGCCCTGCAGATGTGCATGGTACTGTGCCACCGAGTTCAGTGTGACGCTGCAGACTTCACAGGTATAGCTCCGTTTCAGACCTGGAATCAAACACAGACACATATTTTAAATGACTCAGTCTAGGAGATAAACACACCTCAAACACACAGTCTGCTTTTCATCTTCAGTTATACTACAGTCAGGGATGTGAATTAAAATAATTTCATTTTCAAATGATTATATAATGATATGACTTTCACTCTCCTGCACAAAGGCAGTGTAGAATCCATCAGAGCTAGACGCCGATGTGCAAAAACATTCATGCACATGCACTTGAGTTCTGTACTGTAGGTGAGTATTATTGTCTGCTTTCAAGATTGCCTCAGCCGATAGAGGCTGCTGGTGATGGAGTGGCAAAAATCAATTAGAACTGTGGAAATAAATTTCACAGCTGAATCTGAAAGCTGGTACTTAAGACACCTGTGCTTTAGCTTTTTCCAGATAAAGGAGCAATGAAATTTCACTTGGTTCTATTTTGTACGATGCAGCATCATCCAGCGTCACGCAACTGTGACGGCCAATTAAAGTGCACATTCCTGGCACATTACTTTATAAGGTGAACGCTTAGAAAGATGAGGCAGGATAAAATGATATCAGGATAAGAGTTGTAAAATACTGTGTCATAGTATTACAAACTGCTGTGCCTTTTTGCCAGATGGTAACTCTTGAACTTCATGGATGTATTACACAACACTAGTGTGGCCCTTCTGGATTGTATTTCATTGACACTGTGGTACCTGAAGAAACACGCCCGCACCAACAAAGCTCCATGTGTTCTTAAAACACAAAGCTGGTTTTGGTCTCCAGTTACTTTTTCAAAGTCCATCAGACCTCAGCTGTGCCCAGGTGGAATTTTTCAAAGTATCCTTTATACATTTTAAAGTGGTGTGCTGTCACTCAGCTAAGCTAGCTGCTGGAGGACCAGTAAATCTGAGCCATGTGCTGCTGTGGATGGGGCCATCCGCAAAAATGGGTTTTAGCCAAATAAAAAAAAAAAGGCCACAGAAAGAAAAAACCTGAATCAGTTGAAGTGTACACTTGAATTTGGATATTTTCAGCACTTGATCTTACCATCAAACAGCCCTTTCCTTAAGAACGTCATTTTCTTAACCGCTGAACTATATATTCCTACGCACAGGCGCACCTACGCAAACCTCCTTCTGGCGCAAACAGCTGATCTGAGACATTATACAGTGTGCGCTGTAGATGCGCTTGTGCGCAGTAATAGAGTATACTTCAAATGATTTGGGTTTTTTCAGTGGGCATTTTTTGAAAAGTTGTTTTTGTCCACACCAGCTCATCGCTCAGCCTCTGTGCCGGTGATCCTTACTGCTTCTCTAGACTGGCAGCATACTGATCTGAATCTACTGCAGGTAATACACCGACTATGGATAAATACCTCACCCATTTCAAACAACCCAAATTATCACTTTAAGTACAAAAGATGCAATAAGTGACTGCAGACGATTAGGTGTTAGCACTAAACACAATGTTTAGCTGAAACTGATGGGAATATAATTAGTTCGCTGGTATTTGGTCATAATTCAAAGTTAAGTAATTCTGACCTGATGATGACTGCAGTTCATACAATTATACTGAAGGGAAACATGAATGTCTGTATTGTTCATTGCAGTCCATCCAACGGCTGTCGAGACGTTTCACTAAAAGCCGAATATGATGACCACCATGAACGTCCATCTTGAGATTCATGTACTGCATCAGCCCGACTTAATGCCATACAAGTTAGAGAAAAATTACAAAGTCACATCCGAGAGCGTGGAATCAACTCAGGCCGTGCACAGGACCTGAGACCTTGAGGTGTCTGATTTATCTGCCATCAAAAAAATGTAATAGCTTGCTTACATTTTTTAAATTGTGCATCAACATCGTCCTCGGTGTCTGTGATAATGGCTACACGGAGTAAGTGCCCTGTTGCTGCAAATTATGAGCACCCCGTGTAATCGCTGTCATGTTGTACTAATCTTATTGTGGTATGAAAAATGGCCATCTTGATTGCCCCGCTCTCACAATTGAGTTAACTCCTCCATAAATATGCCTCAGAGCAAAAGGCCAAGAGAAAATAAATGTCACCCTGCACTCATTGAATCACATTTCCATATCCTCTTCAATCAAATCCCCCCCGTGAATGATCATTTATTCTAAATCGTCGCACCATGGAATGAGCTGCTGAAACTTAGAAAGCATATTATTTTCCTCTTTCAGGGCAGGGCTTCAAAATTTTGGCTTTTACTAACAATTTACTTCTTAGATGTTGATGTCAGCTGTTTTCTTCTAACGTTTCGATGGAGCCCAATATTCCCCACAGGGATGGTGGCAAATCTCCCCTTTCACTTTCCCCCTGATAAGCTGAACAATAACCACTCTGTCAGTCGGCCGCCACCAGACTGAGATTTCAATTTTGCACGGTCGTCCCCAGACGCAGCCATGAGCTGACATTAAAGTCCTACAGCAGGCGGTGAGGGTCTGCTCTGCAGTGGCCCTTTGACAGCTTGCTTCTCAAACAATTTTTGAAAGGGTGAAAGATTATACAGCGACCCCGGTATCCATCACTGCCAGCCACCTGCGGCTCTTCCCTCCTGGCTGCCCTGCATGAGCGATGAAGCACCAGGAGCCTTCGGGCCTCTGTAGTGCTTCCCCCTCCATCACATTTACTTCTTACTTTCTGAGGCATCGCCAGTGAGTCATTGGAGACTCGTTTGTTTTGGTTAACTTGTCCCTTAGCCGAGAGCGGAGAGGAAGCTCAGGAGAGGGTGCAGAAGAAGAAAAATATGCACTGCAGTGCCATTTATTTAGGTTAAGTTGGAATTTTGTTCCAGCAACACCACGGTACAGGGTTGTGGCACTGATGCATGTGAAGAAAAACGCTGTCTGATGCGTTATATCTTCATTTGATCTCACAGCCACAGAGGTAACTTTGGAAAGAAGGTAGCCAATGGGTAAACTACCGAAACACAAAAGTAAAAAAAAAAAAAAATGCCACAGGCTGTTTCAGTCAGTGTAATGAAACCTGCTCATCTTAGCTCCTCATTAAAGTGACTTCTCTGAGTTCAAACCTGGGGCAGAGTCGGGAGAGTCCTCAGTTTAGGAGAAAATGTTACACATTATTAATAATACAATATTATATTTATTCAAATTACGATATTATCATGTTGGGCACTAGGAGGTAACAACACCATACAATAATAAACATAATCAAATCAGAGACATACAAAAGTTGAGTCAATATGAGGGGAATAACTCTATCGTTAGCAGCAAATGCTTCTTCTGACAGGACAAACAAAACATTGGCCAGTGTCTCATGGTCAAGCAGCAACCTCCGAGGCTGAAAAGTGAAGCCAACGTGGAAGTGCCAAAAACTGCACTTCCTCAAATGACCACTTGAGAGTGGCTCAAAAAGTGAGTCAATCCCCACAGACTCCCATGTTAAAATGTCCAACTTTACAGCAGAAATAAACATGTTTACAGCCTGGTACAAAAAACAGTTTTGGTCTCTATACATAATTTCCTCTTTCATGACAACTGTTTATATAACTCACCTGTTTAAATTTTATTAAGGCTTAAAGTTATGAATAATTGAGGGCGTGGTCTAGCCAAACTGACATGCACCAAAGTTTCAGCTCCACACACTCTTTGCCTATTTTTGGGTTAGCTGGGATTTAGGTGGAGTCAGACACTGCCAAGATGGTGACGGCAGATCAGCTACCTGAGTTTCAAAACAGATCTTCAGAAACCTATGTGTGACGTCACGGATGCTACCGCCATCTTTATTTACAGTCCATTAGTATTTGAAACTAAAACTGAGGAAATTAATGAATTTTAGTCACTTTTTTATTATTAGAAAATGTACAAATATTGTATGGAACTGGATTTGAATTACAGTGTACTGTGTAATTAATGTATGGTTTTTGTATCGGATCAGATACACACATACATATCATACAGATACATGCTGAATTGTCTGAGAGGGAGACACACGTCTTTAACTGGAACAAAAGTCCTTTTCACTCTGAACGGAGACCGACCACTGCTCAGAAGCAGCGTTGGGAATTTAATCAACCACAATCCAATCTCATAGAAAACTAATAGAACATGGTAACTGTTAGGGAGTCTATATCTGCCGCATTTGCCTGTACATTGACTCACCAACAAGCCACAGACCGGGGTTTCTCATCGGGTGCTGAGCTGAGTTATTTCATTTGCTCCGCAGTAAATCTCTGGTTGTCTCTCAGCTAATTGAGACCTATTGCCTGAGCCGTTGGGAGGGAACATGGCGGCGGTATGAATGATCAGCAGTTTAGTCCTCTTTGTGGACTGTTCATGAGCAGGGAAAGGTGGTGCAGGTCCAGGGTTCATGCTAAATTAACCAGCAGCCATCTGCCCCTCTCAGATGGTGCAACTTTAGCTCATTCCCTGTCTGATTGCAGCAGGGCGCCCAGGCTGAAAGAGCATATGCTGAATCTGTATCCATGTGAAATAAATTGTTTGGTAAGTTTCAACAGTGGGATATATTATAATGGATTACTTTGTGAGTGGACTTGCTGAATGAAATCATTACTCAAAAGTGTTTTCATCGCCTTGAGGCAATAAAACAAGTATGTTCACCAAATCCTGGATAAGACTGAGAAGATGTGGAAAAAATCGGAAATGAGCAGTAAGTACAGAGGCAATATCTTGAGCAGAACAGGCATTAGCTGAAAACAAATGTCTGGCCTTCTGCTGGTCCAATCTAGTGTTACATTGATGTAGTTAGTGTGCACGGGGACAGGCTTTGCCCTTTTGTTTCCTCTTGAAGAGGACCTTGATCAGCTCGTTGTAATTTGCCCGCCTGTGAGCCTGTTATTAAGGCAGTAATAGATCTATTTCAGGGTCAGGGGGAGTGGTGAATACAACACACAGGCAAAAGCAAAAGTAACAGCCTAAGAATTGCTATTGCAACGCTCTGTAGAAAAAAGAAAAGCCACAAAAAAAAAACAGTGAGTGAGAAAGAGGCACATCTGCCAGAAATACATCTCCGATTAAC